TCCTAAAGAACCTGAATCTAATACTTAATATGTTCTATCTAAGATATATATACTAAGTTCTAACTATAACTACTAGTCTTCAATCAGTGCTGTGGATATCATTCTATATAAATAAAACACTGATAGCCAGTGACCAGACAGGAAGTATAGGTGGGACAAAGAGAGAGGAGAATTGGGGAAACAGGAAGAAGGAGGGAGAGACACTGCAGCCACCGCCAGGACAAGCAGCTGGTAAGCCACAAGTGACGTGGCAAGGTATAGATTTATAGAAATGGGTTAATTTAAGATATAAGAACAGTTAGCAAGAAGCCTGCCACGGCCATACAGTTTATAAGTAATATAAGTGTCTGAGTGATTATTTTATACGTGGATTGTGGGACTGCGAGGCTTGGTGGAACCTGAAGAGAAGCAACATGGGCCTCTAACAATGTTTACTTGGCCTTTGGAGAGAACCTGGTGCTGAAGGAAGAGCTCCCCATAGTTCCTGCAGACTCTTTCCTAGCAGGACAGCAGGCTATGAAGGGCTTTGAAGGGTGCAGTATGCAGAGGCAGAGAAGAAAACAAACAAATGAAAACAAACAAACAAAAAAAACCCTCCTGATCCTGGTGAAGTTGCCTTTCCCATAGAAGCTACTGTTCCCCTTGATCAAGGCTGAAATCAACTTTTTCACCACTGGCCCTTACCGGTACTTATGTTTATATAAATGTTAATTTTTTCGGTCTACTAGTGTTTCCTTATTGCTATCAGACCTGCAGCATTGGTGGGCTGGGGAAGCTCATCAGTGGGGCCACCTGCTGAGTGCTCATCACTTCCTGCCCCCCCCCACTCCGACCGGCTGGAGATGAGTTCCCAGAGAGCATGGGCAGATCTGGCAGGAGGGTCACTGAGTGGGCGGATGCCTCCCTGGAGGGAGCTTGGAGCAGGACAAGCAGGGCTGGTATTAGCATGCAGGAGAGGCTCCTGTGGCTCTCACAGAGGGTGGAAAGGCACACTCTCTATAAGAAGGCAGAGATGGGGAAGCTAGGGGTGATGGGGATTTTACTGCATATGCACTCTGAATCTAAACCCCCCTCCCTTCCTTTCTAAGCCAAGTTCATCATTAGCTTCCCATCTTAACCCTTCTCTGTCCTGGTAATGCTTAAAAAATGTTAAAGATACATTAGGATTAAAAAATATGCTTTTGTTTCCACAGGAAAAAAATATAATACATAGATTTTGGTCATTTGAGTTCAATGGGTTACAAATACTTGCCATCATTTAAGAGAATTGGTTACAAATCATTGGTTATGATTTTAAAAAAATATATATCAAATTCTAAGTAGAGGATAACTCAATAAATTAAATAGAAAAAAAGATATTTTAGAATGTAATGTTCTTATAAGAATATAAAGGCCTGAGGTATGAGGATAAAAGTTTAAATAAATGACTTTTTGGTTTGAGGAAACATTTTAAGGTGTAAAAATTTAAAGGCTTAAGCATGTCATGAGTGTTTGAGTATGATATTTTGGATCTGAGGAATTAGTTTGAGGTATAAAAATATGGAACTTTAAAGTTTAAGTAAGTTGTGAGGTTTGAGTATAAGTCAAGTTTATGTGGGGGTTTATATCTAAGATGTAAAGGTTTTAAGTATGGGAATATAAAAAAATGTTTTGAGAAGAAGGAAAGTATGTGAAATGCAAGTTATTGGAATGTGTAAAAGCAACTTATGAAGGTCTGAAGATGAAAAGACTTAAGTAATGATAAAAGAATAAAACATGTTTCAAATTTCTTTCTCTTGCTATTCTACTGTTACATTGAGACTCCAAAGTTCGTAGTTTTAAAAATGTCTGTCTACTCTGTAGGTATGAATGAAAATGTGGCCACATGTATGTTTGGTTTTGAATGTCTGAGTTTACATGTTCTCTATGTTAAGGAATACACATTAATGCTAGTCATTTGGCTATCCAGATACTAGTTTAAAGCATAAACTGTTAAATCTTATTTAATTATAAGCTATTAAAAATAAATAAAACAGAACTTGAGAGGTCCATTTGACTAATATATCTAAAGGGTAGCAAATTGGCCTGGTTGTTGTTACCAAACTTAGAGATGTTTTCAAGATTAGGCCTAGATTTGTTTGGCTCAGATATATTTAATAGATACTGGTCCTAAAACCCGTCAAAGATCTGATGAATATGACATTTAAATTATTTGATAAAAAGCTTACTATAGCGAACAGAGACTCCCAGCTCCTAGCAATGACTCCCAAGGTCTCCAAAGAAGATATGGAATAACAAGAAGATACCACCTGAATTGCTGACACCACCGACCACTGGGCAAGATGCCCAGACTCAACACCTGCTGCCAGGGATCTGGCCCAGTATAGAGACACTGACAAGGTAAGGTCAGTCTTTACCAAGTTGCTCTTCCACAGGGAGTAATTTCACATTGGCAGCCAAGACTGATGCTGTCCTGACACCTGTTCTGCCAATGCTATGAAGACTTCAGGAGCCTGGGATGATGGCAGTCAGGGCAATGGAGAATCTTTGTCATTTTTTAATAGATTTGAAAGTCTACACTCAGATAAAATGATCCTTCTCAGATCTCTGACGGCGTTGACGACTGGGCTTGCTGTAGCTTTGTCAGCTTAGAAACATCGGGCAACTAGAGTCTTCCAGGAGGTTGCAGTCACTTTATTAATACATTGATCAATTAATTAATTAATGACCATGCTGCCATTGCATTAAAACTTATTAAGTTCAGAATTTAACATTAATAGAGTTTTGACAAGCTAATAGAGCAATGACTACTTATTGTTTGGATTATGAGCTCAAGATTTTGGATTTCTTTTGGTTATTTTCTGAATATAGATTTATAGACAGATACCTGTTACCTGATTTTTCTACAAACTGTATTTCATTATTTATTGATAACCCTAATATATTTACTGAGACTGTGGGCCTAAAAATTCCAGATAAATTAACTTTTGTCTTTTTCTATATCTGTTTCAGTGGGCTTCCATTCGACTGGCAGACACATCCAGGTATCGGCTACTAACTTCAACCTGAGACATATGGACTTCCTGAAAGTTGATATGGACCAATCCAGCAAATATAAATGCTGTTTCTCCAGCTGGTCCATGAACCAGATGCTTCCAAATCCCCTCCTTGCTTTTGACTAACATTCTGGCTTTCTAGGGCCCTGAAAACGACATTCCAACATTAACAGGAAGTAATTACAGAAGCAAAAATGTCGTCCTTATTCCTGGAATGTTAGATCAAAGAAAATATTCTATCATAGAGAATGTGAGATAAATAATAACTGGTCCCTATTCTCATTTCCAAGTTCCTTCAGGATAAGGAACTCTGTCAGCTATCAAGGGCTTTTGGACCTTCTGTTTCTGCTAATTACTGCTGGCTCTTATGTCATTGATGCCTTAACTAAATAATAATTCCTGTTTGGATGCTGCTAAACTGATGACCCTAGAATTCCTCATCTCACTTTCTGAGGTCATGTTACAGAATAGGGTAGGGCTAGACCTCCAATTCTTATGACAAGGGGGACTATGAGCAACCCTGGGAAAAAAAATGATGTTTTTATATAGATCACTCTGGGCTAATTAAGGACTCTATGACCAAAGTATGAGAAGGCCTCAACAAGCTGATGCAAATCATCAAAGAAAGGTTGGGGACCATTCAATTAATGATGCAAAGGACTCAAACTTAATGTGAAATCCTCAACCAAGGTAAAAAAAAAAAAAAATGGCCTGTCTGACTCAAGGTAGACATTTGCAAACTAGGTATTGACAACCCATGATTGGGTGTCCTCCAGTTACTAGGAGAGGAGGGAATGAAAGAGAAAAATCAGTAGCCATCTTGAGAGATGCTTCCCCCTCTCTTCCTCTGAAGGTATTTGCTGACCAGCAGTTTTAGAACTGACCAGAAGTTGAACTTTATGGGAAGATAAGGCTGAAACAAGATATGGGGAGTAATGGCAAAACTTGACTTGGCAAAACAAGATATGGGGAGTAATGGGCTCAAATGACCAGAAGTTGAACTCAGAGGAGAGTAGGACTGAAACAATCTGAATGTATATATCCGGGGTTAAACAAAAGCAAGACATAGGGAGTAAAAATTTATTACTCTGTAGATACCCTGAATCCTGTTAACCATCAGTAACCTCATGCTTATAGTTCAGCCAGTAACTTCAAAGAACTACCTCACCCCTAGGCCTCTTGTCCAATCCCAAGCTGCATGTAAACCTTTCCTATATAAACCCCTTCAAGTGAGTGCTGGGGGCTGTCCTCCTCTACCCACTGTGTTGGATGTTGAATGTGGACCAAGCTTGCTTATTTTGTTATTTAAAAAAACCTCTGTGTGTTTGCATTGGATATCAGCTCTGTGGTGGTCTTGCTTGGGGGTCTTGCAACCTGGGCACAACAATAAATAGGCCGGGAAAGAGTCTGTACATCTGTAGCTCACCATAGCAGAGCATTATGGTGTCTCTCCAAAGGTGAAGCACACATCTGTAGCTCACCATAGTAGAGCATTGTGGTATCTCTCTAAAGATGACACACATCTGTAGCTCACCATAGCAGAGCATTGCAGTTTCTCTCTAAAGATCAAGCACACATCTGTAGCTTACGATAGCAGAGTATTGTGGTATCTCTCCAAAGGTGAAGCACACAGTCTTTAAGGGCATTTTGGATAGAGCAGAGACCTAAAACTTACATGCGTTTGTCATTACTTTCCAGCTAAAGTTTCTTATATTAATAGAATTGGGATAACAACCAACAGGCAATCACATTGTGTTTTGCTGAAAGAAAAGACTGCTTGCCACCAAATCCCTAATTGAGACTGAATTAGAATAAACGGCCGTTAAGCTCTCCAGCCTAATTGTGAATGGTGTGTATTTGACATTCTCTAAGACATAAATTAAAATAAAAAGAACATTTTCAGAGGCATGGAGTAGCTTTGCATTAATGATGGCCTCCCTCGGTCTGCCGGCTGTCTGCATTATTCATGGTGGCATTATCAGGACTATTCAGTGCTGAGCGATCTGTTTGCCCTGGAATTGTACAGCTTGACCAGATAAGTAATATCTATAGTTTGTATTTATTCTTCTAACTGCTTACTCGGGGATGGCTCCTTTTATCACTGTTGTGAGCTTACTTACTGCTGCTCAGCAGGATGTACCATCAGTGACATCCGCTTTATTCATTTACAGATCCACAGTAGTGCTGCATCAAAGTATTAAATCCTGCAAACGTAGGGAAGACTCAAAGGCTTTAATCTTTGGACTGGCAATCATCATTGTACTATTGCTACATGTCAGAGCTGAAGTCAGTTTTCCAGTCTGAGGTTTAAGGAAGGCACGTGGCCAAGTGCAGCCTGCTTGTTTGTTTAAGATAGAGTCTTCCCACCATTACAATGACATTGCCTTTCAAAACCCCTTCATCTCCACAGAATTGAAAGAACCAGTTCCTGCATTAAAATGCCAGCGTGTCCTTTCAGAACTGATTGGCCTATTTGTAACTCCTTTTTTTATTTTAATTAAGCCAGCATAGGAGAGGCCAGTGTTTTAGTGTTCTGGGCTTCTTCTTGATGACGAGGAATAGCAGGAGAGAACCAGAGCATTCAGAAAGCTCACTACTGTGAAAGCAGTGTTTAAAGGTCTAGAGGATTTTCTCCACCTAGCACAGAGATCATTCTTTGAAATCTTTCCATCCGCCCTTCTACACATACCAATTTCAGTTTCCTAACAGCCCCCGCTGTGCATCTCTTGGCAGGAAACTTCCCCATCTTACGGAGTCTTGCATGAATAATTCATTTAAGTGTCACACTGGCTCTCAAAAGCCTGGATTACTACTTCGGAAGAAATGTTTAATAAGATTCTTCTAAACAACCCAAAATATAACTCCAAGTTCTGTGGACAGCATCTCTCAGAAGAGCTGAGTACATTCAAAGAGTGAATGTGCTACATGTACAAGCACTCTGGAGGCCCTCCAAGTGGTGTTCAGTCATCCTGTAACCTGATAATGAACATTAAAATTAAAATTGATGTCTCTGTGTGTTAGAGGCATGCTTCTTAAACTATGGGGTTTGAGGTTACCTTTTGTTAGATCTTGGGGTTGGGAGCCTTTCTTAGAGAAGATCAAAAACGCCTTGAAGAACCATGCAGTTGAGAGAGGCATAGGGTTCGATGTGAGCAAACACATGCTAGACAGAGCAGGCTGAGAGGCCTCCTCTGCTCCCCAGTGACATCCTTGTTCGAGCAGCCTTCCCTCCCTCAACGACACTGGAATATTCACACATCTGTACTCAGGAACTTTTCTCTTTCAGACCCCACCTCAGTGATTTTATTGTATCTTTTCACCCCTACCTCCCCTTTCATTATCCACAAAAGCTGTCCTTTTCACTCCCATCAAAGGCTGCCTTTCATGAAGTCTTTAAAATGTATTTATATTACTTGGTAAAGGACTCACTCCTAGGACAGTTTTCATTTAAGCCCAGAAGAGACGTTTATACTTGAAAGTCTGTATTGAGTTGACTAAGTCTTAACTTTTCATTTGTGTAACAATTTGGAAAATGTCTACAGTCATACTTCTTTCTTACAGAAAACAAAGTAGATGAAATAAAGAAAAAAAATTAAAATGACAATAATCACCAATAATATCTTGACAGGATGGTAGATTAATCCACATCTACATTTCTCATCTCATATTAATCTATTTAATACTTTCTGATCCATCCATCCATGTGGATGGGGAAATCTAAAGCAGAATTTTAAAAGCAATCAAATTAAAACTGTATCTTTTTCATGGGTGTGCCCTATGTCAATGTGTCTTAGATTGTATTTCATAGAACCCTGAAGGTTAGTTGAAAGAGTTTGGTCTGAGTTTCTTCTTTGCAGCATTTTCTATACTGTTCTGCACCTCCTGGGGTGAACTTGCTTGGATCACATCAGTAGGCTCCCTCACCCTCTGGCATCCCATTGCGTTCAGCAGATGAGAGAAACAGCGGGAGTCATCAGGAGGAAGCTGGTGAGATTAGCACATTTGTTCTCCCATTCTCCTGTCTTGAAGGAGACAGTTAATAATACACAACCCTTTCTTCCTTTGGGGGGCTTAGTAACCAATGCATCCCTTCTCTCCTTCAGGCACAAAGCAAGTAGGTTCTCATTTATTACTGTGGCAAACTACCTACAAACCTAGAAAGTTAAAAATATAACCATTAATTTTTAAAAGTAAGAACCAGTAGGACACCAGCTTTGCCACATGTGATGGAGCAGCTGACACTGAGCTCAGTGGATCTATTTCCAAGAAAGCCTTCCCCGTGGCTGGCAAGTGCTGATTATCTGTCTGCTTGGAATCTGTACTGGACCTCGGGGTCTACATTCCTCTACACACAGCCTTCTTTATAGCAAAGGCCTTTTCAGGACAGCATGCAGACTGCATTGCTTTTTAGGATTCAACCAGAGGACTCACATAGCATCCTTTGGTACCGTAGCAAAAATGACACCAGATACAAAGAAAGCGAGCAGAGATTCTGCCCTTCCATGAGAAGACTAGCAAATGACAGTGTCAAGAAGCCTAAGGGGCATGAAAAAGTTAAAAAAAAAAAAGGACTTTTTTTTTTTTTGCCTCAGACTTTATAGTAACATCAGTGTACTATACTATCATTAAAAGTTCTATGTATCTATCTGCATTTTTATAAATATGATGTGCATTAAATCATGCTCAAATTACTTAATTTGAGTGTCTCATGTTCCTGCTGGGATGCTATATGCCGTAGGATTGAGATGACCAGATTACTTGAAGCCAGGTAAATGCCAGGATCCAGGATCACCCTTGGCTTTTGCATCACCTGCAATATTTTTAATATACATATTTTGATAGCATTCAAGCTTCCTTTGAACCAGGTGTCCTGCTAAAGGCTTGTATGTTCATAATACCGCTTAGGTTCTGCTGCCTCATGTTAGCAATTGCACGTTTGTTTTCCATCTACTCTAACGACTTCTAAGTACAACTCCTACAGTCTGTGCTTTGTTCAGGGAAATTCACATTTTCTTCTGGGTTAAGTACTATGGCTATAAAGTGTATGGTATTTAGTGGATTCCCCAAAACTTTAAGGAAACGTCATCACTAGGATTGGACTCCTCCAGTTACAGAGTCCTTTATCTCGAAATGTAACATCTTCAGAGGATAGCATCGCATCAAGTACTTTGTTTTAAATATTTTAAAAGGCTTCTACCTTTTTCTTTCTACAGCATCTCTTCTCTCACATGAAGCCTTTCTGCATGTTGATGTCCCATAAGGAAACCACACATGCAGAGTTAGGAAAACATTTCCTAGTCAGAACAAATGAGACAGAATGAGGCTGACACTGCTCAGCAGGAGGGACTGAATTCTCTTGGAAAATGAAAATAGAACAATTCATTAATTTGTTAACATGAAGTACATAAGTTGAAGAGTGTATTTTTTAAAATTTCTCCTCTGGCCTATGGGTGATTTCTTTACTATATAAAATAGGAAGTTTTAGAAGCTCTAACAATGAAAAAATAAAGGATGAGATGAATGAATACATCAATGAAAAATTCACATCTCCAATAATTAACAAGCAATTGGCTACCACTTTAAATTCTAGAGTTGAGTAAGAATTGCAGCAAATTATGATACAATGCACTCTGCATAACCCTTTCAGCTAAAATAAATAAATACTTTAAGTCAACTTAAAGTATTCAGCTTTTGACGAGTCTCTGTTATCTCTCATGATGTTAGGTTTGTGTTTCACTCATTATCATTTAGGATCCAAACATGTAACTGGAATTGTACACAGTGTTTTAATATAGAGACTATGATAAAGAGAACTGTTAGATGTGGATAAAGTTGTTACCTTGGCAAGTGACAATGCAAAAG